GGAAGTTGTCTTGGTTGTTCTTCCTTGGAGGCCTTTGGCAGGCGGCAGGAACGGTTGAACCGCGGTTACTACGGACGGTCTTCGTTCGGTCTCCCGATGGGCGCTATGCTGACCGACCGCCGGCTGCCGTTTCGTCCCTGCCGACGCTAGAGAGGTTCCCCTTGCCACATTTACGTGCACCATTTCCGCCAATCGTCACGGCGTGTTTTGTTCTTGTGGGCCAACGCTGCGTTCCCGAAAAACGCGCGCGTTTTCTGTCCGTCAGGTGTGCGGCTGCCTCTCCGCTCTTCTGCGCCTCCTGGGCGCCGAGATGTGGGAGTACAGCTCTCGGCAGCCTTCAGAGGTGCTCGAAGCCCTCGAGCGTCAGACTAGCTACGGGGACGGCGCGGACACCGCCGATTTCAGGGGAACGGGGAGAAGAATGCCGCCCAACGAGGCTATTCAGAAGAAGGTTTTCGAGATGCTGCCTTTGCTGGTGTCCTCCGCGTCTGCTGTCGATAGGCCGTCTGGTGGTACAGGCGTGGGCACGGCGGTGTACGGAAACCAGGAGGTTGGGGGGGAGGCAGATCACCCCGGAGCGGCAGCGAGGCGTGTCGATGATGCGGCAGCCGCAGCGAGCGTGTTGCCCGTGGCCGACGCGGCCCTAAGCTTCCTGTCGCGTGAAATCGCTTCGCTCTCAGCGGTGGCACCAGAGGCCCGTCGCGGCGCACACGGTAGGCGGAAATTGGCGCTCGCGAAAGCCGTGCTCGGTGTCCTCGAGAATTGCTACGACGGCTCTGCAGGTGGCGGCGCGAGCGATGACGATTACGATTCCGACGTGCTTGGACCCGAGAGCTGGCCCTGGAACGCTGCCGCGGCGAGCGCTGCTGCTGCTGCTGCTGCGAGCGGCGCTTGGTACCACCCATCGTGGCCTGTTCGTAGCCTACCGTCGTGGGGTCCACGGCTCGCAGACATCGCGGGCGACCGCAGCGGCAGGGCCTCCGGCGAACGGGCCGGGAACGGGAGCACCGCCGTGGCGGTGGTTGATCGAGCGGCGAGAGTCGTGCAGCTCGTGCTCCGGGAGCACGCGGGGGCGGCGTGGAGAGTGGCGCTTTCCGCCTTGCGGCCGCTGCCGTCGGCATCATCCTCCGGAAGTGGCTCGGCGTCCCAGAGCAGCGGCAGGATGGAGGACGACGAGTGCGTGGTACCGCTCTGTGGCCCGCTCCTGGAGCGGATTTGTCTGGAGCTGCCGTTGATGGACCTACCCGTCCGCGTGCACGCCGCGGTGTTTGAGGTGCACGGGTGGCTGTCGCTCCTACCCTGCGGTATGACGGAACGCGACTATTCCCCCGAAAACAGTTGTTTTGGTCAAGCGCAATTTGTTGGGGCATATCTCCCGATTTGTCGCGTTCGTTGGAACCGGACCGTTTCGGTTGGGTTCACGTAGGGGTCAAGAAGCTGAGCTTTTCTCAAAAACATTTTCTGGCTGCTCGAGTCTTGTGCTCGTCTCAAACGCAACGACATCCAAGTGTTTCGGCAGAGCGTTGAGAAACTTTCGGCCCGACGCGTCATTTGCTCTTCGTCTCCTCGACTTCTCTCGTGGCGTAGTAGCGCTGCCCCTTTTTCGCCCTAATTGTCTGACGGGTGTATCGGCTGTTCGTGCTCTCGTGTTTCCTTATTTCTTCTTCTTCTTTTCTTCTTTCTTGTCTTCTTCTTCTTCTTCTTCTCCGAACGGTTTTGTCCCGAAAGGCGACTCCGCCATCCGGGCCGCGGAGGGCAGAGGCGGGCCCGCCGCCTCGCGCGTGCTGGCGGCGCTACACTCCGGAACGATGTCGCAGTTCGTGAAGCTGTTCGTACCGTACGTCCAAGGCCTGACAGAGATCGTGAAAAACCGTGGGGTTAGTTTTGTGTTTGTTTTGGTTTTCTTCGTTTCGTGTGGGTGTTTTGGTTGTACTGTCGGGGGTGGACACAGTCTGCGTTGCGGGTACTAGGATGGTTTGGACGTTTGTTGCCTTGGTGTTGTTTTTTTCCGTACGCTGTTGTGTTGATAGGGTAAATCCCTGCCTGGGTGATATTTGCTTAGCCGTGAGGCCGCTGTGCTTGCTTCGTTTGCTATCGTGCCACGCAAGATTCCCCCGTTCGTGTGGGGCTCGCGGGCTTGCCCTTTTTTCGTCGCGAAGACGGGTAGCAAGTTGAAGAGAGGGTCATGAGGACTCCCCGTATGTTTCGCCGTGTGCGACTTTGGCAGCTTTGTCTGCGCAATCAAGACCACAGCAGCATGTCTGAAATTCGTGCGCTAGGGGAACTTCGTTCATTGTGTGCGCACATTTTCGGGCATGCGCTGCCTCACGTGGTGCGCCTGTGATGTTAACACGCCCCCTGCCCTATGGCTTATCGTACCTGCCGTGCAGGCATCGGTGTCACCAGCTCTTCTGCCGCAGGTAGCTCCGTCTATTCTTCAGGTAAAGCTACATATGCATCACAACAGTTGTGTGTCCGGAGAGTTTTCGTGACAAAACAATGTCCGCGGTGGCCAGGCTGCTCAAATGTTGACCAGCCTTTTTTTCTCTTTGGGTGCCTGCAGACGCTGCCCAGTTCTAGCTGTTGTTTCACTCTTGAGGCTTGCTCACACATGCAGCGACTGCGGTGCTGCTCCACGTTGAAGCTAATTTACGGCGCCCTGGCAGCGCCGCTGAATTCCGCACTTGACCTGTTGGTGTCATTCCTCCGAATGAAGAAGGCCAAGAACACGCATGCTTGTATGCACATGCACCTATCGAACTGGCGTTACTGTCGTGCTCCCTTGACCGTGGATGCTCGCTGTTTCCCGACTCCTCCCTGCGACTCCCGCCGCCCCGCCCTTGAGCAGGCGCTCCTCGCCACCATACCGGCGGCACGTGCGGCCCTCGAGGAGCTTGTGTCTCGCTCCGTTTTCTCCGACGGCGGGAGGCGGGGGGATCTGCGGCTGTTGCTCGGCCGATTCCCTCCGGACTGCGCTCGGGCCTGCTTCCAGGCCGTCCCGCAGGTCTGCAAAAACAGTTGGCGTTCGCCTCTGCCGTGCCTCCGAGGGCCGAGTGTGACGGTGGCCTGTTGCTGTATGCTGTGTGTGTGTGTGTGTGTGCGTCTTCGTTATTGGCGTTGACCGCGCAACCGGCTGACCAATGAAAAGACTCCAGTCTCAGTGCGGTTAATAACAGAAAATGTTTCTCATGACCATGACCTGGGACCCCGTGAGGCGTGTGTGTATGTTTGTAAACTTGCTTTTCTCACCGCTGTGTTGGACCGGGGAATTGTCCTTGATTTCGGACAGTGTTAGGAAAGTTGCGGTGGGCTACCAGCGGAGGTCATACTCAGGCAGCAAGGGAAAAGGTTTGAGCAGACGCGTGTGCAACAGATAACATGGGTGGCACTCGAAAGTCTTGCGTCGTCGGTAAGGCGCTGCGCGTTACGAGGCCGACGCGGGCGGTTGCGATCAATTCGGGTGGAATCGTTCGTTCTGACGTTATCCCGCGCGCACCACCCCGTTTTTGACGCCTCTTTGGGGTCTCGTTGTCCTCGGGAAGTTTTGTGTACTGATGGTTTGCAAACTTGCTAGCCGGATGTTTCTCGACACTTCCACCGTGCAAGTCGCCCTTGTGCGATTCGCTGAACTCCTCAAGTCCTTGTAGCGCGTTTTGGTACGCTCGCCTGGTTCGGTGACAGCCTGTCGTGCGCCGTTACCGGGCAGCAAGGTCTAGCGACCACGGTAAGCACGATAAATGATGACGACGCTCTCCTCTTCCATTCACCACACTCACACCCGCACAATGTACTCACCCGAGAATCGCAAAATTTGTCTCTTATCACATCTGCGCCCAGGCCCTAGGAGCGATGGCCGCTGCGGGTCCTCACTTCTCCCTCAAGTCATGGAGCCCCCTGTTTCAGGCCGTGGGCGTACTTGGATGCGCGGTGCTATTGCCCGAGGCCTCAGCGGGAGACGGGGAAGAGGAGGAGGAGGAGGAGGAGGAGCAGGAGCGGCAGGGCGAGGGAGAGTGGGAAGAATGCGAACTGTGGGAAGTCTTGGAGGCGGTGTGGGAGTTCATTTTCCTGCAGGTGGGGTAGTACGTCGATGCTTTCCCCTGTTGGTGGCGTGCCGGGCGAGTCCCAATTGTCTTGCGGGACTACTGTAGCGGCGTCGACCATCTCCCCTGCTGTTCACACTTGGCCGATCCCCCCCTATCCCGTGCAGAGGACGGTGCAGGCCGTCTTCACTGGACAACGGTGCCGAACGCAACCCACAAACCACAATTAATAGTCCTCACACTGTTGAGGAGGACATTTACGGTCGTGTCCGGAGGGTGATGAGGTAGTTGGTCGACAAGGTGCCTCGTGCGGAGCTTATGAGAGAGGGGCCACAAGATGACCGCAAACCAATGGAATCCAAGGGCAGATCGCTGCTACCACATTGAATCGTCAAACAACTCGACAGCCGCTTGATCGAAGCCTTAGCACAAGTTCCTCCGTACCATCCCGCAGATTGTTGTCGCAGATTCCCTCTACCTCTTCAAAGAAACGGCCACAGCAGTGTAGGTACCTCTAACGCGGTTTCGAGGTTAAGGTGTTGGTAGGTTGACGAGAAGCATCGCGCCTTGTCGACCTGGGAGTTCTGAAGGATTCTAATGGCTCGCGGCGGCGATTGTGACAGGTGATCCCCGAGGTTCTGCCCGCGCTCAGAGAACAACATGCGACGAGGCTGGAAGAAGCGTTTCGGGCGCTGTTTGGATCGCTTGAAAGGTGGGCTATGTTGACGCGTTAGTGCTGTCGTTTCTTGGGGGTCGGTGCATTGGAGTTTGCACAAGCAACCATGCGTGCTCGAGCCCACCTATCGATGGTGAAGTGCCAACAGCCGCCCCCCGCCGGCTGACGTTGCTCCTCATTGGAAAAAGTTGTAGCCTTGTTACCAGGTTGATGTCTCCAAACACGGGGCGTTCATCTCCATGTTTGCTGTCGAGGATTCCATACCACTTGTGTCAGATCCGTGCAACTTGCTTGTCCTCGCAAGCGCTTCAACCGATGGGTCTTGTATGTCTTCCACAAAGTCACTCATGCCAACCTGCTTCCCCCTGCTCCATGCATCCCACCGCCGCTATGTGCTTGTAGCCTGTGGCCCCTCTTGACCGGCCCGGTGGCTCAGCGTCGGCGCCCCCGCCTGGCGGACGGCTTCTATCGCTCCCGCTCTCTGTGGCTGCAACCTCTGCTCTCGTGGGTCTCGGCGGCCTGGCTGCCCCGGGTTGCCCGAGAGGCTGCCGCAATTTTTGTCCAGCGCTCACTCCTTCCGTTCCTTCACGCCTCGTCGTGTTCTTCAGCCGCAAATGGCGGCGACGACAGGGGGGCCTGCGGAGACGACGACCCAAGCGTGGGGGTAAGCCCGCGAAAGACGATCAGGCTTGTGGGGGACAAGTTGTGCGCTGTGGAAGGCGACGGAGGGTCCGCGTGGGCGCTGTCATCGGGGGATCCAGAAGAGGCTGATCTGTTGGCGGTGCTCAAATCGGCCGCCGCTGCGGCTACCACCGAGGGTACCGCCGTCGACCCCTGCAGTCCGCCGGCAGCACCGAGGGGGGCGGCAAGATCGAGGGTTGACCCGCATTCCCCAGAAGCACCAAGGAATCCTTTCGCGCTCTCCGCCGCACGTCGAGGAAACGGAGGGTCTTCTGCTGCCAGCGGCTGGTCGCGGACACCGTGGGAGGATAGACTCGGCGCCCGTAACTCAGCCACCCCGTCTTTGGAATCCGCGGGGCGGCCATTGTCGGGGTCAGCATTAGCTCAGGTCACTTACAGCTCTCCCGCAGCAGCGCCAGAACCGACCGTGAGAACACCCGGGGTAATACTCGGCAGTCACTACCCGAGGGCTGGCGGAAACGACTTCTCCCAAGCCCGGGAAGGCGGCGGCTCTACCGCAGGCGACGGCGGCGGCGGCGGCTTCCGTGACTCTCGTGGTCGGAGCACTACAGCGTCCACCGAAGGGGGGAGCCTCGGCGTTAGGCCGGAGAAGACGGCTTCGCGGGCTGTCTCCAACTGGACAGCCAACGAAGACGGCGAGCTCGGCAGTAGCAGCGGTGCTCGCAGTAGAAAGACGTACGTCACTGCTGCCGAAGCCGCCGCGGCAAGAGTTTCGGAGGCGAAAGCAAACACCGCAAAAGTGGCGGCGGCGGCGGCGGCGGTGGCGGCGGCGGCGCGTCCGCGAGGCTCGGTAGTAGAACGGTGGCGCGAGATGCAGCGCAGGCAGGTGGGGGAGACAACGGAAGTAGTAGCGTCCGCGCCAGCCGCATCTCAGAGCCGTTCGCTCCAGCAGCAGCAGCAGCAGCAGCAGCAGCAGCAGCAAGAGCAGGCGAGATCACCGAGAAATGCGGCAGTACAGACCACCTCCAAGGAGGCCAGGGCTGCCTTCGCTACAGCAGCGCAAGCAGCAGCGCGCCGCGGCGACTCTCCCGACGGCGGGAACGGATCGTTGGCCATTACCGCGGCGAGGGCGGCCACGCTCGACTACGCGTCACTGGCCGAGGCTAGCGCGACGGAGCTCCACAAGCTTGTCCTATCGTCGTGGACCGTTCCGGAGCTTTTCGCCGCGTCGACGAAGTCGGCTCGGTCAGGGGGAAGGTTTCAGGGCCCCAAGAGGGGGCACGAGGTTGGGCGCTCGTCGTCGAGCAGCCTGTGGCTGTCGAAGGTTCGTTGGGCGTCGCTGCACTGCTGCTGTCTCAGGACCACCATATGGTTTGCGTTGGCGGGCAGATATCTCTGTTAGCCAAATAACTCGACTTCGTGCACATGGCAGTTGACGTTGCCGATGCCGGACGATTGGGAACCCGCTGGGGGGGAGGGGACTCGCGCTCCTATTTTGGATTTCCTTTTCGGTTAATTCGTATCCCATGAGCTCAATTTCGGCCGCACCACACCGACCATGCCGTCCGTGATTGCGACTCCCGCGACCAAATGATCAACCCGCGGTGGTGCTGGTTTCCCAAACGTCAGGTTCCGACCCGGTTTCAGAGCGTGGAGCAGTACCTCGAGGTTTTTCGGGGCCTGCTGCTCGACGAAATTTTTGCCACTTTGGTTGCCGCCCTCGACGGCGGTGGCAGCGGTGGTCGTGGTGGGGGGAAGGGCGGCCCCCCGGAGGCAATGACGCTGCGCGTAGCATCCTTGGTTGAGGGCGGCAAGGGGGGGTTCGGCCACGTTACGTTGGTCGCGGACGACGGCGGGGGTAGTTCACATCGGTGGGTTTGGTTCCCGGTCGCGTACGGCGCAACCAAGTAGCGACACGATGAGAAAAACGTACTTTGTGGTGGCACAGATTCGTGAGAGTAGCTGTACGATGATTAAGAAAGTAGTTTGTGGTCGCCAAGTTTCGGAGCCTGGGTGGCTTACTGGGCGGATGAGACCCTGGGTGGATAATACCACCGTTAGTGCATCCAACAATAACATCATCAACAACAACGACAACCACAACAGTAACAGCATGCATGCTACACAACATTGCGCCGCGTCGCATCTCAATCGCGTTCCAGGTTCGCTCATGATGACGTCCTCCTGCTGTCCCTCGTGAAACCGTCGGACGGACCGGCCATCGGCGGCCACGTGGGCGGAGACGGCGGCTCAGCAGCAACCACGACGGCGTGCCTCGGACTCTTCGACAAGGAGCCCCGCGGGGCAGCCCGTGGGCCGGCCGGGATGCCGGGGAGCGGGAGGTCGTCGGTTCGGGTGGGTACCCTGTTGCTTGAAACGGCAGCGGTGAACATGCGATACTCGAGGCTGCTACTGTATCTCCCGAGGCCGCGAGATTTTCATTGTGAATGTCCCGAATAAGCGCCTACAAGGCGTATTGCTGTCCGTTTGTCTGCGTTCCTCACAGGTACAGTCGGGGCCCCTCTTCAGGTCGGGTTGTATGGTGCGGGTGGCCGGTATAGTGCGGGTGAAGTTGGCTGGCACAAATGGGACAATCAAGATGGTTATAACATGAATAGTGGGGGTGCCCAATATAGTGCAGGTTACAGCGCTTGGCACGTACCCGCCCTATGTAGGACCCCCGACTGTACCTGCTTTCGTCTCTCCGACTTCTCAAGGTTTTGGTGACAAATATCCCATAATCAGCTCCGAACCCAATGTTCGTGGCTGGCTATCCATCCGTCTGTCTTCCTGTCAGGCGATGCTGCGAATGATCGCCTTGTTTAAGACGCCCACCCTCCCATCACGTCGCGTGGCCTCTGTCTCAACACGTGTCCTAGGCGAAAGTGCTGTTCCGATCTACGACACCCGGAGACCGTGGTCGCAATCGGAGCAAGATCGAAAGAGGTGCAGGGGCCGTTATCCCGAAGAAAGCCACGGTTGAGAGTCGGGGGCAAGGGCAAGGTGCGTGTAAGGGGAGGAGGGGCGCGCAGGGGCGGTGTCCTCATGGCCGTGCATGCCGTAGTCGTTAGACCATTGACCTCGCATCCCTACAATGCCGGGACGGAGCACGCCGGTTTTTCACCGAACCAGACGAGCACAACACCAAGCTCGAAGCGCCGTGAGGTTTTCGGCGAGTCGCATAGAGGCCGGGGGGGCAGGGGGAGGGGGTGTACTCCTAGTCGTGCATGCCGTAGTCGTTAGACCGTTGACCTCGCATCCCTACAAA